TCAGTACAATATCGTATAAAATGGATAAAATTTTTTTACAAATTAGCCTTCACTATATCGGCTAATGATTTATCTAATCATCAAATTATTATTAAAAAATCTTGTTTATATCAGCTTTATATCTTCTACATGATAAATAAATCATCTTAATAATATTCGAATATTAATTTCTGTATATACATCATATTTTACCATTATCTTTAGCATATTGGCTTTTTTTAATATCCTATTATATTGGTTTATAGCCATCACTATATTGTTCTGCTATCATCTAGGCAGATTATTTGAAGATACAGGGAAGATATTTTTGATTTCAACCTGTGTATATACATGATTCTTACTAGACTTTTGATATTTTTTAACTTATTTATAGTTTAGAAAATAATTTTTATTTTAATATTAAAATTATTTTATATAATATCTCATGATAAAGGTGAATATTATAATTCATTTGATGTATTCAAAAATTCAAAACAAAAAAAAAATATAGATGTCAGAAATATGAAAATAATTGAGCCAAAAATAAAACAAGAACATTATAAATCTTATATTTTAGCAAATAGTGTAAAAGGTACAAGTTCTTCTGAAGCTAAATATCAAGCTATGGTAGATAATTTTGTATACAAAATATCTAGAGCTGACCAAAATAACTTAGAAAGTCTATTTGTATATGCTTTTTATTCTTCAGGAGCTTCTTTTAATATATTAGAAAATGAGAATTGAAAATGTTTTTTTAAAAGGCTTGTTCAGTATTTAAACTTTTCATTTAAAATTACTTGCTACTACATTACTTAATCAAGAATATAAGAATATTAATATTGTTATTTAACACTTATTTAACCAAAGTATTTTTGGCTAATTACTAATGAATAGCCTAATATAAATAATAATTCTATTATTAATTATATAGTAACAACGCTGAAACCTATTTTTTACAAATCAGTTGCTACAAAAGAACAGCACCATACTGCCAATAATATAGTATTAAATACAGTCAAACCTATCTATAATCACCTTCTATATAAGCATATTTTCTTTATAAGCTTATTTTTTAAAAAACTATCTATTATTAAATATAATAAATTTAATCTCTATAATTAGCACACTTCCCTATAATCATGCTTTTTTGTATTCTGTGGGTGTGACTATAGAAAGGTTTGACTGTATTGAAAAAATTATACAAGAGATTAGTAATGCCACTGAAATTGATTTTTAAAAAAGACCTATTTTGTTTCCATTAGAGCAAATTAAAATTTTTTATAAAAAAGAGCAAATAAAATTTATATACAGTTATACCTGGGTTATATCTCTACTAGGTTATATTTTCTCTTATTTATTATCTTAGTTATATTTCCATATTTAGACAGAATAAATTTCTTTTTTTTATATATTTTATATATTGAGTTATATCTCAACCTTAGTTATATCT